TTTGTTTTTAAGGTAACTATGCCAACCTATGCTTAAAGGGAATTCTTAAATTTGGGGTTTGCCGGAGGGTTTCAATTTCTTTACAGTCTGCAGTGAATTATTGTCTTGACTGTGTGCCTTTTTCATAAAAGCATTTTACATGGTACTGAAAAGATTACATTCTTTTGGCTTTGGAAAAATATTTCCTGTTCAGTTGAAGCCATTAAAGCCTCTTAGCATTTCACATCTGGAAGCCTGTGCCTCCCGTCAGCAGCAGATGAGTGTGGTGGCCTGGCTGGGCCCCCAGCCCCTGGACTTGTTTACTTCCTAAGCCTCAGCCTTGTGGGTTTTTGGGGAGTGAGGGGGTTCTGAGCAGGGGAGAGGAGCTTCCTTCCTCCCAGGGCAGGGCAGGGTGGGGTGTGTGTGTGTGTGTGTGTGTGTGTGTGTGTGTATGTGTTTATTCTTCCTGGGTTAGTGATGGAGGGGGCCTCCTCTTGGGTAATGAGGGGGGGTTTCTTTCTCCTGGGCTGGGGAGGAGAATCTTTCTTCCTAGTGAGAGTTGCATCCCCCTCCCCCCTGCCTCTTGCCTTAAGCAGCTCCTATTTTCATTCCCACCCAGTTTTCCAGAAAGCCAACCCAAACATCCGTGGAAGCGGGAAGTATCCCTCAGGGAAGACAACGAATTTGAACAAAAATGCTGGGCAGCCTGGGGCCTTTGCGTGGGTCGGAGCTGCAGGCCTCAGTCTGGCTCCCCTTGTCCCTGTCTCCCAGGCTGGGTTGAGGGAAGGCCTGGGAGAGGTGGCCCTGGCGCCTGCTCTGTGGCTCTCTTTCCTGGGGACACAGGGGACTGCGTCCTGCTTTCAATCTTTAAAAGGGAAACTAGCTTCTGGGTGCCATGTGACTTTGTGAGCATTAAGCGCTCCCCCAATTTGCTGTGGTCTGGGAGGGTTAATTTATGTGGCCTCGGGGACCCTGCTCTCCAGAGATGGACCTGAGGCTGCACCCACTCTCAGGATCATGGAGCTGGGCTGTGTCTGCTGATCCTGGTGGCTTCAGTGCTGAGAACACTCCCTGTCCCTGTGGCCTTTTGGGTGGCCAGCCACTAGAGCTCTGGGGCAGAGGGTGTTCTGGGCTACAGCCCACTGAGTTCTTTAAGGGAGTCCAACAGGCCCCGCAGCATAACCTATTGGGGAAACGATTTCATGGTGTAGAAGGAGCAAAACATTCATTGCATTGCTTCTGATCACACATAACCAGAAACGATGCCAGGCAATCCTGGGCTGCCTGCAAGAACAGGAGCTTCTCTGGGTCCCTGAGCAGCCAGGTCTCAGGCCTAACGGCCTTGGGTGAGGTGCCCCTGCCCTGCAAACCCAAATGACCACAGTGTCTTTGCACCCCCTGGCAGGTGAATTCACAAGGGGCCAAGGTCAGCATCTTCGTGGGGCTGGTTAATCATGCTCTTCTGTTGAACTTGCATCCTCACTGCAGGAGATGGGTGGTCCAGATCTGACAAACATCTTTCCCAGAACACAGGGCCAGGAACAGAGTGACAATCAAGGCCAGGTCTCCACTTGCCCCTTAATGCTGGAGTTCCTGGGTTTGTTTTGAGAGTTAGCTATTGAAGTTGGTTTTGTGGGAGGACCATGTGCTACGTGTGTGGGCCCCAAGGTGGAAGCAACCCTCTCTCCAGCTTGTTTCTCTCTCTCTCTCTCTTTTTTTTTTTTTTTGAGATGGAATCTCACTCTGTTGCCAAGGCTGGAGTGCAGTGGCATGATCTCGGCTCACTGCAACCTCCACCTCCCAGGTTCAAGTGGTTCTCCTGCCTCAGCCTCCCGAGTAGCTGGGATTACAGGTATGCAGCACCACACCCGGCTAATTTTTGTATTTTTAGTGGAGACGGAGTTTCACCATGTTGATCAGGCTGGTCTCGAACTCCTGACCTCGTGATCAGCCTGCCTCGGTTTCCCAAAGTGCTGGGATTACTGGTGTGAGCCACTGCAACCGGCCTGTTTTTCTGAATTTCTTTGAACATTCAGTGAATCTTTTTTAGACTGTGGGAAGCCACTTGCCCAACTAGTTGAAACGAATAGCAGTTTGAACAGAGAGCTCAGTTGAACAACCACGCAAATGGACTAAGTGCTTCGGATGGGAAAAGCATGGGAAGGGGTCTTCATAGTGGAATGGGGAGGGCAGGGGAGCTGTGTGGTACTCCGCATGCCCCAGCTCCTCTCGTTGTGAGTTGTCGGGGGTGACTGCTCTGAGACAGAGTTGAGGTGTGAGCTAGGGGGTCCTGCAAGACAGAGGATGTGGCCCACATATGCTTATTGTATCTTAGGCAGAACACAGGACTCAGTGTCCCCCAGAGTCCTTGCCCTTGTGTTTTGGGGCTCCAGAAAGGCTTCAGTAGTGCTGGGTGCATTTGAGATGGGTCTTGAGGATGGACAGGTGGAGAGAGCCCTGCAGCGGGGCCATAGGGTACCCCGAGTGCTGCAGGGGAGGGACCTTGGATTTATTTATTTTGTTTATTTTTTTGAGACAGCTTCACTCTTGTAACCCAGGCTAGAGTGCAGTGGTACAATCTCAATCACTGTACCCTCTTCCCCCCCAAGCTCAAGCAATTCTCCTGCCTCAGCCTCCTGAGTAGCTGGGACTACAGGTGCGTACCGCCATGCCTGGCTAATTTTTGTATTTTTAGTAGAGACGGGGTTTCACAATGTTGGCCAGGCTCGTCTCGAACCCCTGACCTCAGGTGATCCTCCTTCACAAAGTTCTGGGATTATAAGTGTGAGCCACTGCGCCTGGCCTGACCTGGGACTTTTAAATGGCATTTGAGTTTGGTAAAGGGAACTGTTTTAATTGGGTCAGTAGCAAAATCTGATTATTTTACACTGATTTTGAAATCAGACCTGGGCTCATGACCCAGTGCTTCCCTTGCCAGCCAGGTATTATCCTCTAGATGCCTCAGTTTCCTCTTCTATAAATGAGGTAAACAGGATTCAGTGAGATCATGGATGTGGAGCTCTCGGCATCTTGTGGCAACTGGAGGCCAAAAAACATCAGCTGCTGTTGTTATTTTAATTGGTGATGGGGGAGGGCAGATGGATGGATGGATGAATGGATGGATGGATGGATGGATGGAGCAGATAGTTGTTAGGAGATGCTGAGGGCCTGGTGCAGTGGCTCACGCTCGTAACCCCGGCACTTCGGGAGGCTGAAGTCAGTGGATCACTTGAGTTCAGGAGTTTGAGACCAGCCTGGCCTGGCCAACGTGGCCAAACCCTGTCTCTACAAAAAACAAAAACAAAAAACCATCACCAACAACAACAGATATTGTCTGGGCATGGTGGCTTGTGCCTGTAGTCCCAGCTGCTCAGGGGGCTGAGGTGGGAGGAGCCCTGGAGCCTGGGAAGTTGAGGCTGTGGTGAGCTGAAATCGTACCACTGCACTCCAGCCTGGGTGACAGAGTAAGACCCTGTCTCAAAAAAAAAAAAAAGGAAAAGAAAAGCTGCTGAGGCTCTGAGCCAAGGAGTGAATGTCAGGGCGATAGGAGAGAGGCGACGCAGGCTCAGTTCGGTCTTTATGGCAGATCTGAGTGGTCCCTGAGTAAGGAACTGATGAGGTGCCATCGTGGATCCATCTGGCTCCCAAGCTATGCACTGGGGCCCAGTCAGAAGTAGGGAAGGCCTGTCGGTTCAGTTCAGGCCAGGGGGCTGGAAGAATGTGAAAATGTGTTTACTCAGCTATTTATTTACCACTCTGCATGCCCATGACATTTTCACCCTGGAAAGTCAGGCACAAGGAGGCTGGGCTTCTGCAGAGGCTGTCCACAGAAGCTCTTAACATCCTCCAAAGTTAGGAGGCTTCCCCTCCGGGATCTACTCCCAGCAGTGAGATTCTTCCTAGGCAAACTTGGTGGACTGAAGACTTGCCACTTTTTGCAGTTTTTGATTCCAGAAAAGTGATTGGCAGGGGGAACAGTGCTTCAGAAATAAGCGGGGGAAGCTGCTTTTCCACAAGGGGCTCGATGTGGGCGTTTACGTCCAGGCTTATCTTAGAGGAGGAGGAGGAGGAGGAGGAGGAGGTGGAGGAGGAGGAGTAGAAAGAGGAGGCAGTTGCTGCGGTAACCTCCTTCCCCTACGGGATGCTCAAGAGGTGAATCGGAGGCTGATGTGGGGGTCTACAGATTGGGGATACAGCTTCATCCCCACTTGGGGACATGCCAGCCAGAATCGTTGGTCACTGCGGAGTGGGAAACTGACTGCTGCTTCTCAGCTGAAGTTGGATGCTATCAATTTTGTTTGAGTTGGCTGGACACGGTGGCTCACGCCTGTAATCCCAGCACTTTGGGAGGCCGAGGCAGGTGGATCACGAGGTCAAGAGATCGAGACCATCCTGGTCAACATGGTAAAACCCCGTCTCTACTAAAAATACAAAAAATTAGCTGGGCATGGTTTCGTGTGCCTATAATCCCAGCTACTCAGGAGACTGAGGCAGGAGAATTGCCTGAACCCAGGAGCTATGATGCCCAGCTCCCTCAGTGAGCTGAGATTGCGCCATTGCACTCCAGCCTGGGTAACAAGAGCGAAACTCTGTCTCAAAAAAAAAAAAAAAAAAAGGTGAACATGGCTGGGTGTGGTGGTTCATGCCTGTAATCCCAGCACTTGGGAGGCTGAGGTGGGTGGATCACTTGAGGTCAGGAGTTCTAGACCAGCCTGACCAACATGCTGAAACACTGTCTCTACTGAAAATACAAAAATTAGCCAGGCATGGTGGTACACGCTTGTCCCAGCTACTCGGGAGGCCGAGGCAGGAGAATTGCATGAACCCAGGAGGTGGGGATTGCAGTGAGCTGAGATCATGCCTGGGTGACAGAGTGAGACCGCGCCTCCAAAAAAGAAAAAATAGGTGAACATAATTTTTAAAGCAAGCGTTCACTTTTTAAACAACTTCTCAAGAAATGGTACTTTCATTTTACAAAAGAGTCAAACTAATGTCCCTTCTTGCCTCTTTGACCCCAGCAGGTGTGTACCCAGTAGACATTTTGGACGATGACCCTGACGCGCATCGGAAAGCGGCCCTGGCTTGCTACACTGCACTTGGGGAAGGAGGTGAGGCCTCATCTGAGGTTTTCTGTCTTCCCACTGGGGAGCAGGTAAGTGTGATCTTCTTTGTCAAAGAGCTCTGTAAAATCTAATTTGCAGAGTAGAATGTTGTTGAAAGAATATGACAGATTAAAAGAAAGCCCTTCTGGGGTGAATATTAGAATAAGCACACCCTGAGAAGAAGAATGAATCATGCATGGGGATTCTGGAGTCCAGAGTGTGAGTCCAGAGCTGCCAGGCGGTGAGCCAGACAGCCTGTGTGAATGTCTACCGCTCACTTACTAGCTGTGTGCCTTTGAGCAAGTGTCTTTATCTCTCTGGCCTTGGTAGTGTCATCTCTAGACCTGGGACAATAACAATACATACTCTATAGTGTTGTTTTGAGATACGGTATGTGATGCCCAGCTCCCTCAGTTTCCCCATTTGTAAATGAGAAGTTTAGTTGGCCTTCAGTTTCCAAGGTTTGATTTAGTCCCAAAACTTTGTGATTTGGAATGAAGTGATAACAATTTTGATTTTTTAGCACTGATAAAATTCTATGCATTGTGAGTAGGGACTGGAAAGAAACAGAGAGAAATGAAAACCATTTGTTAGAACAGTAAGATTGTGGGTGAAATATTAAAATTGTGTTACTTTTTTTTGTTTGTTTTTGAGACAGAGTCTCGCTCTGTTGCCGAGGCTGGAGTGCAGTGATGTGATCTTGGCTCACTGCAACCTCCGCCTCCCAGGTTCAAGTGATTCTCTTGCCTCAGCCTCCTGAGTAGCTGGGATTATAGGTGTGTGCCACCACGCCCAGCTAATTTTTGTATTTTGAGTAGAGATGGGATTTCATCATGCGGGGCAGGCTGGTCTCGAACTGCTGACCTTGTGATCTGCCTGCTTTGGTTTCCCAAAGTGCTGGGATTATAGGCGTGAGACACTGTGCCCAGCCAGAATTGTGTTACTTTTAAGATCATTATTTCCCTCCCTGCAGTAAGTAAAGAGTATATGTAAATCTTGGGTAAAACCTACGTCAGCCCCCCTCTTTTTTTTTTCAGATTTGAGGCTGATCTGCTGAAGGAGACAGTCTTCTTGTTTTATATGGATACAATTTCACTCCTACCAGATACTGTTATCTGGCGGGCAAAGCTGCTTGAGAAAGACAGGGTTTTGTTTCATGGCACTGAAGTTGTTCCTGAGTCAATGAAAACAATGGCTTGTACAGTTAATTGTGTGGCTTCCTTGAGATTTTGGAGATGCTAGCTCGCAGTCACTCCCAGAAGAATCCAGCACTCATCGGTGATCAAAAAGCCTCCACGTTTTTGATCTGCAGAGGGAGGTCCTGGTCCTCACACGCTTCCAGCGCCCCCTAGTGGCCGTTAAGCAAAAAAGGCAAATGCTAGGTCGAGGCTAGGGGCTTAATGAGCCAGGATGGTGAGGGGCGGGTGGCATGGAGTGTGGGGGTGCTAGGTCATCTCAGAAGTGGGTAGAATTACAAGAGTTAGCCCTGAAGTACATTAGGAGGCAGTTTCTATCATCTGCTTTTGTTTCACATGTATTTATGGATTACATTACTTTCACCCCACCCCAATGTGTAGTATGCTCAGTGAGTGAAGAATTTTAGTGTTATTAGCGAAAACATAAGACAGCTAATTAAGTTGTTTTAATGTGATAGAAATGTGAAATGACTTTATACCTATCTGCTTTTTCACTTTCTAAAAAAAGAAAGTTTCAGCTGGGCGTGAGGGGCTTACACCTGTAATCCCAGCACTTTGGGAGGCCAAGGTGGGCAGATCACCTGAGGCCAGGAGTTCAAGTCACCAGGCTGGAATACAGTGGTGTGATATTGGCTCACTGCAGCCTCCTCCTCCCAGGATCAAGCAATTCTCCTGCCTCAGCCTCCCTCCCGAGTAGCTGGGACTACAGGTGAGCATCACTACGCCCAGCTAATTTTTGTATTTTTAGTAGAGATGGGGTTTCACTATGTTGGCTGGGATGGTCTCCATCTCTTGACCTCATGATCCACCTGCCTTAGCCTCCCAAAGTGCTGGGATTTCAGGCGTGGGCCACCGCACCTGGCCTGTCCTAGGTTTTCAAAACAGATTTGGTACCAGAGCACATTGACCATTTTGTCTGGTGACCACAAAGAGGGCTTTGGATCTAGGTACTTGAGAGAAGGCTCTCGGACAATCTCAGTATTAGAGATACTGCTTCCTCTCTCATATAACAAACAGGTGCCCAGAGTTGAGCTTCTCTGTCCCAGTGCTGACAGGGAGCCTGGACTGGACCTGTAGGGACCAAAGAACATGTACATTTCTCTTCCTTTTTTTTTCTTTTGAGACAGGGTCTCACTCTGTTGCCCAGTGCAGTGGTGCAGTCTTGGCTCACTACAACCTCTGCCTTCCAGGCTCAAGCGATTCTCCTGCCTCAGCCTCCCAAGTAGCTGGGATTATAGGCACATGCCACTACCACCTGGCTAATTTTTGTATTTGTAGTAGGGATGGCGTTTCACTATGTTGGCCAAGCTGGTCTTGAACTCCTGACCTCAAATGATCCAAGCACCTTGCCTCCCAAAGTGCTCAGATTACAGGCACGAGCCACTGCGCCTGGCCAAAGGTGTGCATTTCTTGAAACTGCTTGCTGGACTGAGCCAGGGCATCCCGAGTGGCATCCCAGTGGAGGCGGGCATGTCCCAGGCTGTGTCCATATAGTGGCCTCTGGGACCTTGGGAGAAGAACTGGACTCAAGGTGGGTGGATTGGGATCCAGAGGTGGTTACAGTAGGAAGTGTTTGGAAGGGAGAGCTGAAAGGCGACTGGCCGACTAATAGGAGTCTAGGTTGATGTGTGTGGCTAGATGAAAAGATGTGCTGGGCGGGAGATAAGAGAAGAACTTTTTGAAATTCCCTGTGTGTTTAGCTCAGCATGGGTAAGGTTTCCATGTTCGTGGTGCCTGTGTTCTGTCAAATGAAGCCCATGTTCTGTGCAACAAAGTTCTTTCAATGCACACTGTGCTAATTAATGTTAAATAACTTCCCATGCCCGTATTATGATGAAATAACAAAATGGTCATTTTCGTGACTTTTTCAGGTGAAACTTGAAGCTTCATCTGTTTGCTTTTGCACTGTGCACCGTGATGAACCTCAACACAAGATACTGGTTTTGGTTAATCCCCAGGACACAAAGACAGGTTGGTGGTTATTAATGGACTTTAAAAACAGGCATCTTGACTTCAGCATATACAACGGATGGAATCAAATCCCCAGGAGATGATGGTTGTGCTCATAGGCTGAACTTGGAAGAACATGAAAGCAGAACTGATTTATTTTCAGCTTTTAGGGATCCAACAGTGCATTCGTATTTCTGTTTATTGACATATATATGTCAATATATAAATAATATATCTATAAATATAAATATATATGTTTATATATATATGTTCTTTTTTAGACAATCTTGCTCTGTTGCCCAGGTTGGAGTGCAGTGGTGTGATCTTGGCTCACTGCAACCTCTGCCTCCTGGGTTCAAGCAATTCTACCTCAGCTTCATGAGTAGCTGGGATTACAGGCACATGCCACTACCACCTGGGTAATTTTTGTATTTGTAGTAGAGATGGGGTTTCACTATGTTGGTCAGGCTGGTCTCAAACTCCTGACCTGAAATGATCCTCCTTGCCTTGGCCTCTCAAAGTGCTGGGATTACATGTGTGAGCCACCTCATCTGATCTATATATTGATTTTGTGTTAAAGACACAAGAACTGCCTCTTGCCTGCAGCAGCCATCCTTGGAGCTGCTTTCGAGGGTGATGCTTGCTGTTCTTATTAGCAACAGTGCACAGAATTGGAAACACTGGGTGGGGTCTTTTGTTGGAGTATCACCATGGCCCTGTGCAGCCAGGGGACCATTCTCATCCCCCACATTCAGACAAGGACATGAGGTCTCTGAATGGTTGAGTAACTGGCCTGAGACCACACAGCTAGGGCCTGGTAGGGTTTTTTTGCAAGGTAATGATTGGGTGGCTTTGTCTCTGGTGGTGTAATTCAATCATCTGTAACTCATTTATTCTTCCTCTGTGTTATGGAGAGACCATTCGTGGCTGGCTTTCAGATCCTCAGAGTGAGTCCTCTGGAGAAAACTAGCCTCCATGGCATCTGGGGCAGGGGCCTGGGGGCCATTGGCAGTGGGCAGTGTGAGGTGGGGTGCAGCCTGTCCATTCTCCCTAAGAAGAGGTGAAGCAACCTATTTCAGTGAGGGATCTCAGTTTAATTTTATTCCTATGCAGTCATTTTCTCCTCTATTCTACCTGTGTTTTTTCTTGCATTTTGCAGATCTCTTACAATGACTGTAATTCCTAATAAGAAAGAATAATACATCTTAATTGGTGACATGGCTTGGCTGTGTCCCTACCCAAATCTCATCTTGAATAATTCCCAGGTGTTGTGGGAGGGACCTGGTAGGAGATAATTAAATCATGAGGGGAGTTTCTGCCATACAGTTCTTGTTGTAGTGAATAGGTCTTATAGATCTGATGGTTTTATTTTTTAATTTTTTGGGGGGCATGGAGTTTCACTCTTGTCACCCAGGCTGGAGTGCAGTGGTACTGTCTTGGCTCCCTGCAACCTCCACCTCCCGGATTCAAACGATTCTCCTGTCTCAGCCTCCCGAGTAGCTGGCATTACAGGTGTGTGCCATCATGCTCAGCTAATTTTTGTGTTTTTAGTAGATATGGGGTTTCACCATGTTGGCTAGGCTGGTCTTGATTTCCTGACCTTAGGTTATCCACCTGCCTCAGCCTCCCAAAGTGCTGGGATGATAGGTGTGAGCCACCACACCTGGCTGATATGATGGTTTTATAAGGGGTTTTCCCTTTTGGTTGGCTCTCATTCTCTCTTACCTGCTGCCATGTAAGACATGCCTTTTGCCTTTTACTGTGATTGTGAGGCCTCCCAAGCCACATGAAACTGCGAACCATTAAACCTCTTTTTCTGTGCAAATTACCCAGTCTCGAGTATGTCATTATCAGCAGTGTGAAAACAGACTAATACTATTGGTCAGCCCTCCTTCCATGATGTGGTGTCTGGTGAAGTTTGTGGTTATGGGCCTTTTACTCTATCTGCAAAGGGGAGGGGGGACTCCTTCAGCTTCCATCTTCCTTAGAAATAGACTTTTCCTGTCACCTGCATGTCTGTCTGGGACCTGTACTCAGAGGATGCCCCGCTTAGGGCGTGTAACAGCTCAAGGTGAGGTCTCTGGGGCAGGCTCTTTTGCAACATCCCCAAGGCCTCTGTCTCTGCTGAACATGAAACTCGAGTGTGCTTAGCTAGCTGTGTGGGAGTTTTCACTGTGCTAGCAAAGCCTCCTCCTCTCTTCAGGGCTGGAGGCAGCTGAGATGTGTGTGAGCGCTTTCTGTCAAGGTTCAAGGTATCTCCTACCTCCATGTGGTGGAGCCTTGGCTGTTGTGGGCGAAGGGGCTGTGAGAACCTCAGGCCTTTGATCTTACCTTGGATCTGTGACTCCACCACCAAGTTGCTGAAAGTTAACAAGATGTTCCCACATGAACCCTTCAGTGCACAGATTGTCAAAAACTCTAAGAATATTGTTTGCCCATTTTAAGAAAATGCTCACAAATCAGCTGCCCCACCACCCCCTTTTAGGCATTTAACAATATTCTGGTTATAGGTCTTTAACTACAATTTGCATAATGTAAACACATGACTGACTCTTATAAATCTGTTTCTCATTTGTATTGGACTTAATTTTTTTTTTTTTGTTTTCAAGAATGTACTATAATAAATATTCATAAGCTCCAAGACATCTCACTATGGACCCTTCGTTATATATAATAGCACTTTAAATAACATTTCGAAATGTTTTCCTACTGCTGCGGGCTCAGTTGTGTTGGCTGTGATTTTGCATGGTTTCAAAAACCGCACTCAGGTGTTCCTGGAGCCCCATGCTCTTTAATCAGGGATTTGGAAGCACACGAGTTCTCTCCCAAACACATCACACACTTCCAGAGCATGTCTTGTGGCTTGAAGCATGTGGACTGTACAACAGCCGATGGTGTCAGGGACCCTCTTCACAGCTTTGACAAATGTGTCACCTCCCCTCTTTGCTTAGCTGTGACAGTGGAGAATGCTATCGCTGCTTCCTTTGTCACTTTCTTGGAGAAGTTCTATTTGTGAAGGCTGTGCATGTTTGTTTGTTTCAACGGAAGTTGAAGGAATCAGAAGCTGTTTGGTCAGCCCTGGGTACGAGTTAATTATTGATAAGGTGGTTGAATCCATCACAGTAACTTCCAGTAACTCCGAAAGCAAATGAAAAACATCCTGGAATTGTGAATTCCCCGGTGGTAAATGGTCATCGTTAGTGGCCATCTGCTGTTACGATGTAAGTAGTGAAGCTTTCCAACTTTCCCCTTTAAGAAACTGTGACAGCACTTTCCATAGATCAGGGCTGAGAAGCAGGTGCCCTTGTCCCCGTGGCTCCTGGCAGCCTCTTCCTGGATACTTCTCTGCATAGAAGCTGGTTTATGTCCTTTGAGGGGACATGGCTGAAGGCTGCCAGGAACCTCCTTTCCTAGGTTGCTTCTGTGCCTCCCAAGGACTTCAGCTTTCACTTATGTCTCCTTATTTGTTACTTCATTTCCCCTTGTTTTGTTATTCTCATTTGCTAATTATTAACGGAGCTCAAATGTTTACAAAGATGAAAAAACTTTTCTCATCAACAAAGTTGTGGCCTTTTTCTGATCTTCTGTATAAAATCAAAACCACTCCTCCTAGCCTTCCAGATTGACATCAGATGATGACCTTCAGCTTCTCCGTTTCTTCCTGTGTCCAGTGCAGCGTAATAGGATGAATGTGGACTTTGGCGCCAGATGGAACTGACTTGGAATCCTGGCTCTGCTAACTGACCGGCAGAGGGATAAGTTATTTAACCTCTTTGAGCATCAGTTTCATTGTTGGCAAAATGGGAACAGCTTCCCTACTTTACAAGACAGGTGTGAGAACGAAATGATTTATGGCGGGAAATCTGATGCATTGGACCATCCCAGGGAAGAGCCCAGGCATGAAATCTGCAAGACTCCCGGTCTCCTCCAGGAAGTGCACCCTGGCTCGTTCCTCCTCTGTCTTTGCCTGTCGTGTTAGAGAAGCATGGATTTCAGAGTTGGGGGGCCTGTTTGGTGGAACTTCTGGTGGAGGTTTAGCAGTTGGAATCTACTTGGGGACTTCCCCAGGGACAAGCTTAGTCTGTTTTTGAACTACTCTTCTTGGATTCTTTTTTTTTTTTTTTTGAGACAGAGTTTCACTCTTGTCACCCAGGCTGGAGTGCAGTGGTGCGATCTCAGCTCACTGTAACCTCCGCTTCCCGGGTTCAAGTGATTCTCCTGCCTCAGTTTCCCAAGTACCTGAAATTACAGGCATGTGCCATCACACCCAGCTCATTTTTTTTTTTTTTTGAGACGGAGTTTCGCTCTTGTGACCCAGGCTGGAGTGCAATGGCGCCATCTCGGCTCACCGCAACCTCCGCCTCCTGGGTTCAGGCAATTCTCCTGCCTCAGCCTCCTGAGTAGCTGGGATTACAGGCACGCGCCACCATGCCCAGCTACTTTTTTGTATTTTTAGTAGAGATGGAGTTTCACCATGTTGACCAGGATGGTCTCAATCTCTTGACCTCGTGATCCACCCGCCTCGGCCTCCCAGAGTGCTGGGATTATAGGTGTGAGCCACCGCGCCTGGCCAACACCCAGCTAATTTTTGTGTTTTTAGTAGAGACGGGGTTTTACCATGTTGGCCAGGCTGGTCTTGAACTTCTAACCTCAAGTGATCCACCCCCTTGGCTTCCCAAAGTGCTGGGATTACAGGTGTGAGCCCCTGTACCTGGCTTCTTGGATTCTTACTGATCGTCAGAAAGTTGTTCTTTATGCCGATCCAAACTGTCTCCTTTTATAAATGTCATGCCATCCATCCAAAAGCCCCAATTGATCAGGGATGGGCTGGAGGGGATGTGTCTCAAAGCCCTCTGGGTAAAGAGACAGTGGCTCTCATTAGTTCAGCCTTAAGGCAGGCACGATATGGTGCTAATGGGAGGATAGGTCCAGCTTAATTATAGCTGAATTTTCTTTGGTGCTGCTCAGGCTGTGACTGAAGCAAACAGCACTTATCCCTGGAGAGTAGCGGGGATGATGGA